CCAATAAAATTTGATTTGATTTGATTTGATTTGATTTGATTCATGACCAACACAAAATCATGTTCACAATCAGACAAATAGCCTGTAGTTCTGATTCCAAGACATACTACATCACTCACCAATCCTTTGATGTCCAGAAACCTGGGAAAGACTGAGGACATCTGTGCTTCTGTCTGGACTATAAACTAGCTCCTGGCAATAGTGGAATACCTATATTCTGATAGATTTGTTTTTCATCAGCTGAGCGGACAAGGAATGATATGGCCTCCTTGCAAGCATCACCAACAAGCTGGTGGTCCAGGTTAGTCTTCTTCCTATGGGTTGGGCCTCCCGACTGGGGTGAAATACTCTTCTTGATGGGTCGACTTGAGGTCTTCCTTGATACCGTCTTCAGGCGATAATTCAGATATCCTTTGCCCGTGTCAGGATCATAGAAGTGTTCCTTCGATGTGGGAAAAGGTGACCAACATGGTAGTCAAATGGTTATTATTTTTAGACTTGATTCTATGACCATTTGATGCCCCTTTCAGTCCACAGAACAAGTGTCAAAATATTACAGCAAGCATGCTCTACCAGCACTTACATAGCCTTTGGCGGAAAAGGATCTCTTAACGAAGGAAAGAGGGTCACAATTCCAAGAGCATAACGTTCTCTCTGTTGATGAGTGGGAAGCCTCCTGCTCAACAACATTACAGCATACACGCCAAATATGTTTAACCAACGTTTTGTTGATGAAGGTACTATATCTTTCTACAGTCTAAATGATGCCAAATAACATTAATGTATAGTTTGATTGTTTTGATCCATTCTTTGCGGCCAGATTGGCTAATGACAAGCTTACTCTTTCATGTGGCTGACTAAGACTGCAATCATCTCTCTCCTGGTTCTGTGGTCCAATGTTTTGGTTGTCTGGTACTCTAATACAGTGGGGAAAAAAAGTATTTAGTCAGCCACCAATTGTGCAAGTTCTCCCACTTAAAAAGATGAGAGAGGCCTGTAATTTTCATCATAGGTACACGTCAACTATGACAGACAAAATTAGAAAAAAAATCCAAAAAATCACATTGTAGGATTTTTAATGAATTTATTTGCAAATTATGGTGGAAAATAAGTATTTGGTCAATAACAAAAGTTTCTCAATACTTTGTTATCTACCTTTTGTTGGCAATGACACGGGTCAAACGTTTTCTGTAAGTCTTCACAAGGTTTTCACACACTGTTGCTGGTATTTTGGCCCATTCCTCCATGCAGATCTCCTCTAGAGCAGTGATGTTTTGGGGCTGTCGCTGGGCAACACGGACTTTCAACTCCCTCCAAAGATTTTCTATGGGGTTGAGATCTGGAGACTGGCTAGGCCACTCCAGGACCTTGAAATGCTTCTTACGAAGCCACTCCTTCGTTGCCCGGGCGGTGTGTTTGGGATCATTGTCATGCTGAAAGACCCAGCCACGTTTCATCTTCAATGCCCTTGCTGATGGAAGGAGGTTTTCACTCAAAATCTCACGATACATGGCCCCATTCATTATTTCCTTTACACGGATCAGTCGTCCTGGTCCCTTTGCAGAAAAACAGCCCCAAAGCATGATGTTTCCACCCCCATGCTTCACAGTAGGTATGGTGTACTCAGCATTCTTTGTCCTCCAAACACGACGAGTTGAGTTTTTTACCAAAAAGTTCTATTTTGGTTTCATCTGACCATATGACATTCTCCCAATCCTCTTCTGGATCATCCAAATTCACTCTAGCAAACTTCAGACGGGCCTGGACATGTACTGGCTTAAGCAGGGGGATACGTCTTGCACTGCAGGATTTGAGTCCCTGGCGGCGTAGTGTGTTACTGATGGTAGGCTTTGTTACTTTGGTCCCAGCTCTCTGCAGGTCATTCACTAGGTCCCCCCGTGTGGTTCTGGGATTTTTGCTCACCGTTCTTGTGATCATTTTGACCCCACGGGGTGAGATCTTGCGTGGAGCCCCAGATTGAGGGAGATTATCAGTGGTCTTGTATGTCTTCCTTTTCCTAATAATTGCTCCCACAGTTGATTTCTTCAAACCAAGCTGCTTACCTATTGCAGATTCAGGCTTCCCAGCCTGGTGCAGGTCTACAATTTTGTTTCTGGTGTCCTTTGACAGCTCTTTGGTCTTGGCCATAGTGGAGTTTGGAGTGTGACTGTTTGAGGTTGTGGACAGGTGTCTTTTATACTGATAACAGGTTCAAACAGGTGCCATTAATACAGGTAACGAGTGGAGGACAGAGGAGCCTCTTAAAGAAGAAATTACAGGTCTGTGAGAGCCAGAAATCTTGCTTGTTTGTAGGTGACCAAATACTTATTTTCCACCATAATTTGCAAATAAATTCATTAAAAATCCTACAATGTGATTTTCTAGGTTTTTTTTCTCTCAATTTGTCTGTCATAGTTGACGTGTACCTTTGATGAAAATTACAGGCCTCTCTCATCTTTTTAAGTGGGAGAACTTGCACAATTGGTGGCTGACTAAATACTTTTTTCCCCCACTGTACGTCTTGCCCACCAGGTCTACTAGTCAGGGCATCTCGGACCATCTATTAAGACAAGAGAAAAGTTCAATAATTTAGGGTTGGTTTATGCTGTCAATCTCCATGAAGAGCAAACACATAAATGGGATTATAAACATCCAATATCAGTCATTATACCTATTTTTCTGCTGCAGAGTCGATGGCCTCATCTCCTAAGGTTGTGTTGGCCTTTTTAAGATGGTCTTTCTGGAGATCTCAGGTCTAAATCGCTTGACGAAAGGGATAATGTGTCTGTGCACGAACTAGGTGTCGAACAGCCTGCAGGAGAAAATTCTGAGCACAAACAATGGAACAAAGCAATCAATCTATACAGTTATGTTATTTGATATGTGAGACTGTAGAAAGATACCTTCATCAAGATCTTTGATTGTGAGGCACAGGTCTAGATTGGCCTCAATCAGGTCCAGCAGGACATCCTCCTCCACCTCAGTTTGGGACTCATCACAAATTTGTATTTGTGCTGCTGAGGGCAGTCCAAACCTTTTTTGGACTACAGAAAGAGAGACTAATCAGAATACAGGGAGATAAGCCACCTAGGGGGCAACAGAATGGGTCTGACCCAAATCAAGCCCAAGGGTTCAATTAAGAAAATACATCAGACAGTTCATATATTCACCTTGATTTATGAAATCTCTGTTAGAGAACCCAGGCTGCAACTTCATGAACTTCTTGCATTTTTGGTATTGGACCTTCACCAACATGTTACACTGCACTCCTGCAAAACGCAATTACACACAATGTCATATTTAAAATAAATTTGGTTGCAAACATTTTATGGTGTAGCTGTACATACAGAAACAATCACACAAAATGCCCCATAATACCCTCTCCCTTTTGTCTTCCCTGCAGTTGATCAACCATTTGTTCAAAATGCCACTTTAATGATGTAACGTGTCTGCCTGCGGATCCCGGATCGGTGGCTTGGCAAGGCAATATTCCAGTGAAATCAACCATACTAACTAGCTATCTAACTAGCTACAAACAGTTACCACCACCACTCAAATCTATAGGAAAGAAACTGGCCAATACATTTCAAGCCATATTGGCTTGAACACAATGACTGCTCTGTGATTAACAACAAGCACACACCAGAGACATGTTAATCTAAATGACAGAGGACAACCCTATCACCTCTGGCCACGTGCTCTAGCTATCTAACCTTAGCGCTAAGTTACAAGATGTTGAGGTCGGTGTCATAGCTAGCTACCTATCTAACCATTTTTGGGCAGACAAACATTCTTAGATATGCATTTCGAAGAACAAATTAGTAGATATTAGCCATGTTGTTACATTCACCTCCTGGCTAGCTACATGCTGCACCAAACAAGGCTCAAATTGATCACACCCCAATTAACACCATGCACCTGCTGCGCCACTAATTTTAGTTGGTCTCCTGAACTCAACACGCACATGTTTGAAATCACCTAGCGGTACAGCCTTTCTCTGATCCTTTTGGATTTCGATTCATTTTCTCAAATCGAATAGTTTGCTAATTTGAGCAAACAAATGAAGTTGAGACAAAGTTCCAGCCAACATGTAGCTAGATAGCTAATTAATCTATCGCTAATGTTAACCAACCACGTTTGCTAGCTAGCAACCTTTAAATCTAAACTTCGCAGATGTAGCTATATCTACAAACAAAGATCTCGACCATTCACTTAGCCGATATAACAAGTTTGGCCACCAGCTAACTTATTAAACAATGAACATATTACTTACCTTTCAATGCTGCACAATTCCAGCTGCCCTTGCACCGTCGGCAATTAGATGAAAAGGAAGTTTCAAGTTAAAACCGGAAGCACAATCAACACTGCTCAGTGCCACCGCCCAACCTCTGTACAGGAACTCTCACCTGGGAGTTATATTAGCACAGAGGGTGTAAAAACAACTCTTAAATCAACACCATGAAAAGCAACACTTATTAAAACTGGCCAATTTGCTGTGTATAAGGTTGGGAAAGACCAATACAGTCATTGGGAAAGACTACTAAATGGCGGGGGCGGGGCTTCAACTTTTCCATATTTAAAATGTCTTATTGTCCCAGAAAAACACATGGACTTCTTTCAAACAGTGAAAGACACTAATTGCCCTGCGATGGTGGCGCATACCTAAAGCCTACATTTTATGCAACAGTGATTACTGACATAAATGATATTGGATAGGTAGCACATACCGTTTATGATCGACAGTGAATGTTCAGGTGTAAGTCTCTGTCACTCTTTGTGTTCCCACCACTCCTTGTTCTAAATCTGTGTTGTGGTGTTTTGATGCGGAGGCTGTGGGCTTTACTGAAGACTAAATATCTAGCCACAGCTTTACCTCCGATTACAGGAAACCTGTTTATATTAACCTAATTATGGTGTAGTAAAACCCCATTGCTTAAACAGCATCCCACATGTTTTTCACTGTAAATGGAGGAACACCAGTGGACTAACAGTGTTGTAAAATGGCTCATCATGTAAACATTGGCAGGTAACAGTGGTTTGGAAGTCAGTCAATGAGGGGTAGGAAGATGATTTGGGATTAAGTGTGTGTGTGTGTGTGTGTGTGTGTGAACACTGTTTTCTGTCTCCCTCTTGTACTCCTGTGTGTATCTGTCTGTAACAGTAATCCAGTAATACATCTGTAATACACTGCTCCCTCTCTCCCCTGCGGCAGGTCCATGGGAGGTGAACACAAAACAGCCGGCGACCACTGTGAGCACTGTGCTCCCCTCTACAACGACCAGCCTTGGCAAGCTGCCAACGGCATCATAGGAGCACCGCATGAATGCAAGAGTGAGTCTTACAGGGCCAGGAAGGTCAATAGGCAAAACAACGTACATTACATAATATACACAGCTACAGACAGATGTCTTCACTAGTAGTTGTATGATTCAATAGGTACAGGAAATCTCATTTTTGTTATTCAGGATGCCATTGCTCTCAAGGTGATCTGTCTTTTATAGAAACATTCTCATCATGATAATTTTGTACCCTTTTCAAAATTACATCGATGCAAATATGAGTGAAACCTACTATCTGTACCTTTGAGAAAACAGATGCACCTGAAACATTGGATTAGAACGCTGTCAAACATCTTGTTATTTTTCTTGTGCGGATCAACATATTTTCATGTCGATCATTGTCGCAGTGTGAATAAGGTCTATGGGAAAAGAGAAATATATTTACTCTTTATTTTTAGAGTTTAAGTGTACCGGCCATGCAGACAGCTGTCACTTTGACCGGGGTGTGTGGCTGGCATCAGGATGCCGTGGTGGGGGTGTGTGTGACTCCTGCCGCCACAATACAGAGGGCAGACACTGCCAGAGCTGTACGAGAGGGTTCTACAGGCACCTCAACAGACCCAGCTCTGCCCCCGACTCCTGCACACGTAAGAGAACATACTTCTGCCTGCCTCTCTCGGTCCCTGTTATATCTGCTTTGTTACTATGTTGTTACCCCAGCTCTGCCCCGTCTCCTGCACATGTAAGAGAACACACTTATCCCTCTGTCTGTCCTTGTTATGATTTGTTATTTGTTTTTTAACCCGAACCCTCAGCCTCTGACTCCTGCACAAGTAAGAGAGAAATTGAATGATTTGTACCTGTTATCTGAATGATTTGTTACAATGTTATTACTCTGGCCTGACATGGGTTGCCATGGGCAACTATCTCCATGTTGATGATGGTGTCCATTGTGATGGTATCCACATTTCCCTCCCTCTTATGTCTGAATTGTCGTTACTATGTTGTTACTATTGCCTGGTATGGGTTGCCATGGTCTACATAACAGCAGTGATTGTCAATCATGGTCTTGAGTAGTTTATTTTGTGTGTAAGTTCATTTCTTTCTCCAGCTCAGCAATGAAACACCTGATTTAGCTCATCAAGGTGTTAAATGTCAGTTGATCAGTTGAATCAGGTGTGATCAGGCACTAAGCCGTAACAAAAACATTCGGTAGTGGAAGGTTAGTTATGCCCACTGTCAGCTCTGACATTATGTTCAGACATATAGGACCTTTTCGAACCACTTCGATCGCAATGCCAACTACGGTATTGCCAACTTAAACAATACTGATTCCTTTAGTCCTTTTCAGTAGAAGATCAACAATGTCTTTGGGGAATCTGACAGTAATTGCAAACAATGGAGGAATCTCCCCTGCTCCATGCGAGGCACATTTTTCCCATTCCTGTCCCTTTTCCCCAGGCATGCCTGCTCGCTGCAGCTGCTTAAAGAACAAAAAAACTGTTTTGGGGAACAAACTGGGTTTGAGAGAAAGGGAAAACACACACATGCACACGCAGGCACATACACACACACAGGCATGCACATACGTACACAGACACGGACACGGACACACACACTAAAAGCCGGTCATTCACGAGGGGAGTCCATCAACCAGTGAAAATGACAGTGTGAAGGGAGAAAGATTTACTGTTTGTTTTTACAGTAATGTGTGTGGAGTGTGTATGTGGAGTATCCTCAGGGTTAAATGCATACTCCCGCCCATCTTGTCCTGTTGCCGTGCTGCTTATGGAAGCCTGATTTCTAGTGTATCGGGAATGTACAGTATGTTTGTGTGGGTGTGTTTGTTTGTGTCTGCTTCTGTTTTGCCTGGGACGTATGGTTTGGAATGGACTTAGCGCGTATTTTCAGAATAAGTCAACAAACATATTCTGAAAGGGAAACGATAAAGAAATTGGATAAAATGCTAGTAATGTGCTAATACTACCTCCCTGTTCTGTTCTGTTTGTCCCTCCTCTCACCTTGTACCTACAGCGTTGCGACTGCCACCCTGTAGGTTCAGTGCCCTCGCTTTCAGGTTGCGATGATGCCTTCTGTAACCGTAGCAACGGGGCGTGCACCTGCAGACCGTGGGTGGGCGGTCCTATTTGTGACAAATGCATTGTGGGATTCTGGGGGTTCCATGGTTACGGGTGCAGGCTGTGTGACATGGACATCTAATGTGTATGTGTAATGTACATTCTCTCTTTCTTTCCAGAAAAATGTGAGTGTAAGGAGATGACTATTGGCAACCCCAAACTCTTCTGTGCCAAGGAGTATGAGTATGCTAGGTGGGAATAAGAAAGATACGTGTGGGAAAAGTGGGAAAAGTTCATGGGAAAAGCCTTCACAACTACATAATCTTAGCATTAGCCATGAATGCTAATGTCATAAATTGTCTCCTGTGGCTCCACCTGTCATTGTACTCCTCTTTCTCAGAGAATTTACTGTAAAAAGAGATGATAATAATCTCAGACATATGTAAAGATAACCCTGCAGACTAAAATTGAAATCTAATACATTGCACGTTTGAGGTTAGCCCACTACTATTTTAGCCAACTCCAATGGCTGTTGGTATGCATAACAACAACCATAGGAGTTGGCTATAGAGTACAAACAGATCTGGGACCAGGCTGTAGTGAATGATGCCAACTGAATTGAAAAGGAAATGCTAATACACTGCATGTTTGAGGCAGTAGTAGATGGTGCCAGCAGAATTTAATAGGGATTATGCCAACAGTACTGAACAGAGATTGATTTATCTCTTCTCTATAGTGCTGATGCTGAGGATTGTGGCGGCCCATGATCAGGGCTCCCATGCTGAGGTGGAGGTCAAGGTAAAGAAGGTCCTATACCACAGCAGCCAGGTGAGGATCCAGAGAGGTCACATCACCCTCTTCCCAGAGTCCTGGACCACCCGGGGGTGCACCTGCCGCTTACATTTTGCACAGGCAGCTGGTCAGGCAACTGGATTTTGACTACTTCCAGCCCAATCATTCTTTTTCTCTGGCATCTCTGGATGCATGCCTGCCTTGTTTGGCCCTCACACACTAGACTTATTTACATTAGATGACTCACGGCAACCTTAATCTGGTTCACCAGAGCATTCTATATTCTATATATATAGAGTGGGGAGAACAAGTATTTGATACACTGCCGATTTTGCAGGTTTTCCTACTTACAAAGCATGTAGAGGTCTGTAATTTCTATCATAGGTACACTTCGACTGTGAGAGACGGAATCTAAAACAAAAATCCAGAAAGTCACATTTTATGATTTTTAAGTAATGAATTTGCATTTCATTGCATGACATAAGTATTTGATCACCTACCAACCAGTAAGAATTCCGGCTCTCACAGACCTGTTAGTTTTTCTTTAAGAAGCCCTCCTGTTCTCCACTCATTACCTGTATTAACTGCACCTGTTTGAACTCGTTACCTGTATAAAAGACACCTGTCCACACTCAATCAAACAGACTCCAACCTCTCCACAATGGCCAAGACCAGAGAGCTGTGTAAGGACATCAGGGATACAATTGTAGACCTGCACAAGGCTGGGATGGGCTACAGGACAATAGGCAAGCAGCTTGGTGAGAAGGCAACAACTGTTGGCGCAATTTTTAGAAAATAAGTTCAAGATGACGGTCAATCACCCTCGGTCTGGGGCTCCATGCAAGATCTCACCTCGTGGGGCATCAATGATCATGAGGAAGGTGAGGGATCAGCCCAGAACTACACGACAGGACCTGGTCAATGACCTGAAGAGAGCTGGGACCACAGTCTCAAAGAAAACCATTAGTAACACACTACGCCGTCATGGATTAAAATCCTGCAGCGCACGCAAGGTCTCCCTGCTCAAGCCAGCGCATGTCCAGGCCCGTATGAAGTTTGCCAATGACCATCTGGATGATCCAGAGGAGGAATGGGAGAAGGTCATGTGGTCTGATGAGACAAAAATAGAGCTTTTTGGTCTAAACTCCACTCACCGTATTTGGAGGAAGAAGAAGGATGAGTACAACCCCAAGAACACCATCCCAACCGTGAAGCATGGAGGTGGAAACATCATTCTTTGGGGATGCTTTTCTGCAAAGGGGACAGGACGACTGCACCGTATTGAGGGGAGGATGGATGGGGCCATGTATTGCGAGATCTTGGCCAACAACCTCCTTCCCTCAGCAAGAGCATTGAAGATGGGTCGTGACTGGGTCTTCCAGCATGACAACGACCCGAAACACACAGCCAGGGCAACTAAGGAGTGGCTCCGTAAGAAGCATCTCAAGGTCCTGGAGTGGCCTAGCCAGTCTCCAGACCTGAACCCAATAGAAAATCTTTGGAGGGAGCTGAAAGTCCGTATTGCCCAGCGACAGCCCCAAAACCTGAAGGATCTGGAGGTCTGTATGGAGGAGTGGGCCAAAATCCCTGCTGCAGTGTGTGCAAACCTGGTCAAGACCTACAGGAAACGTATGATCTCTGTAATTGCAAACAAAGGTTTCTGTACCAAATATTAAGTTCTGCTTTTCTGATGTATCAAATACTTATGTCATGCAATAAAATGCAAATTCATTATTTCAAAATCATAAAATGTGATTTTCTGGATTTTTGTTTTAGATTCCGTCTCTCACAGTTGAAGTGTACCTATGATAAAAATTACAGACCTCTACATGCTTTGTAAGTAGGAAAACCTGAAAAATTGGCAGTGTATCAAATACTTGTTCTCCCCACTGTATATATACAGTACCAGTCAAAAGATTGGACACACCTACTCATTCCAGGGTTTTTCTTTATTTTTACTATTTTCTACATTGTAGAATAGTAGTGAAGACATCAAAACTATGAAATAACACATGGAATCATGTAGTAACCAAAAAAGTGTTAAACAAATCAAAATATATTTTTTATTTGAGATTCTTCAAATAGCCACCCTTTGCCTTGATGACAACTTTGCACACTCTTGGCATTCTCATAACCAGCTTAACCTGGAATGTTTTTCCAACAGTCTTGAAGGAGTTCCCACATATGCTGAGCACTTGTTGGCTGCTTTTCCTTCACCATCTCAATTGGGTTGAGGTCGGTGGATATTTTACCTTCTTGGTAAAATAGCCCTTACAGGCGGTGTGGAGGTGTGTTGGGTCATTGTCCTGTTGAAAAACAAATGATAGTCCCACTAAGCCCAAACCAGATGGGATGGCGTATTGCTGCAGAATGCTGTGGTATCCATGCTGGTTAAGTGTGCCTTGAATTCTAAGTAAATCACAGGCAGTGTCACCAGCAAAGCACCCCACACCATAACACCTCCTCCTCCATGCTTTACGGTGGGAAATACACATGCGGAGATCATCTCACAAAGACACGACGGTTGGAACCAAAAATCTCAAATTTGGACTCCAGACCAAAGGGCAAATTTCCACCGGTCTAATGTCCATTGCTCGTGTTTCTTGGCCCAAGCAAGTCTCTTTTTCTTATTGGTGTCCTTTAGTAGTGGTTTCTTTGCAGCAATTCGACCATAGAGGCCTGATTCACACAGTCTCCTCTCACCAGTTGATGTTGAGATGTGTCTGTTACTTGAACTCTGTGAAGCATTTATTTAGGCTGCAAGTTCTGAGGCTGGTAACTATAATGAACTTATCCTCTGCAGCAGAGGTAACTCTGGGTCTTCCTTTCCTGTGGCGGTCCTCATGAGAGCCAGTTTCATAATAGTGCTTGATGGTTTTTGCGACTGCACTTGAAGAAACTTTCAAAGTTCTTGAAATGTTCTGTATTGACTGACCGTATGGACTGTTGTTTCTCTTTGCTTTTTTGAGCTGTTCTTACCATAATATGGACTTGGTCTTTTACCAAATCCTTTATACCCCCCCCCCACCTTGTCACAACACAATTGATTTGCTCAAACGCATTAAGAAGGAAAGAAATTCCACGAATTAACTTTTAAGAAGGCACACCTGTTAATTTAAATGCATTCCAGGTGACTACCTCATGAAGCTGGTTGAGAGAATGCCAAGAGTGTGCAAATCTGTCATCAAGGCAAAGGGTGGCTGTTTGAAGAATCTCAAATATAAAATATATTTTGATTTGTTTAACACTTGTTTGGTTACTACATGATTCCATATGTGTTTTTTTCATAGTTTTGATGTGTTCACTATTATTCTACAATGTTAAAAACAGCAAAAATAAAGAAAAACCCTTGAATGAGTAGGTGTGTCCAAACTTTTGACTGGTAATATATACAGTGAGGGAAAAAAGTATTTGATCCCCTGCTGATTTTGTACGTTTGCCCACAGATAAAGACATGATCAGTCTATAATTTTAATGGTAAGTTTATTTGAACAGTAAGAGACAGAATAACAAACAAAAAAATCCAGAAAAACGCATGTCAAAAATGTTATAAATTGATTTGCATTTTAATGAGAGAAATAAGTATTTGACCCCTCTGCAAAACATGACTTAGTATTTGGTGGCAAAACCCTTGTTGGCAATCACAGAGGTCAGACGTTTCTTGTAGTTGGCCACCAGGTTTGCACACATCTCAGGAGGGATTTTGTCTCACTCCTCTTTGCAGATCTTCTCCAAGTCATTAAGGTTTCGAGCCTGACGTTTGGCAACTCGAACCTTCAGCTCCCTCCACAGATTTTCTATGGGATTAAGGTCTGGAGACTGGCTAGGCCACTCCAGGACCTTAATGTGCTTCTTCTTGAGCCAATCCTTTGTTGCCTTGGCCGTGTGTTTTGGGTCATTGTCATGCTGGAATACCCATCCACGACCCATTTTCAATGCCCTGGCTGAGGGAAGGAGGTTCTCACCCAAGATTTGACGGTACATGGCCCCGTCCATCTTCCCTTTGATGTGGTGAAGTTGTCCTGTCCCCTTAGCAGAAAAACACCTGCAAAGCATAATGTTTCCACCTCCATGTTTGATGGTGGGGATGGTGTTCATGGGGTCATAGGCAGCATTCCTCCTCCTCCAAACACGGCGAATTGAGTTGATGCCAAAGAGCTCCATTTTGGTCTCATCTGACCACAACACTTTCACCCAGTTCTCCTCTGAATCATTCAGATGTTCATTGGCAAACTTCAGACGGGCCTGTATATGTGCTTTCTTGAGCAGGGGGACCTTGCGGGCGCTGCAGTCCTTCACGGCGTAGTGTGTTACCAATTGTTTTCTTGGTGACTATGGTCCCAGCTGCCTTGAGATCATTGACAAGATCCTCCCGTGTAGTTCCGGACTCATTCCTCACCATTCTCATGATCATTGCAACTCCACAAGGTGAGATCTTGCATGGAGCCCCAGGCCGAGGGAGATTGACAGATATTTTGTGTTTCTTCCATTTGCGAATAATCACACCAACTGTTGTCACCTTCTCACCAAGCTGCTAGCGATGGTCTTGTAGCCCATTCCAGCCTTGTGTAGGTCTACAATCTTGTCCCTGACATCCTTGGAGTGCTCTTTGGTCTTGGCCATGGTGGAGAGTTTGGAATCTGATTGATTGATTGCTTCTGTGGACAGGTGTCTTTTATACAGGTAACAAACTGAGATTAGGAGCACTCCCTTTAAGAGTGTGATCCTAATCTCAGCTCGTTACCTGTATAAAAGACACCTGGGAGCCAGAAATCTTTCTGATTGAGAGGAGGTCAAATACTTATTTCCCTCATTAAAATGCAAACGAATTTTAAACATTTTTGAAATGCTTTTTTCTGGATTTTTTTGTTGTTATTCTGTCTCTCACTGTTCAAATAAACCTACCATTAAAATTATAGACTGATCATTTCTTTGTCAGTGGGAAAACGTACAAAATCAGCAGGGGATCAAATACTTTTTTCCCTCACTGTATATATATATATATATATATATATATATAATATATATATATATATGTATATATATAATAATATATATATATTTTTTTACATTATGCCGATTTTAAGCCTGGCTAATGATCGTCTCTATCAGGATCCATTATCAGTCAATAGATTAATTAATCATAATTAGAATTAATTAATTAGAATAAATTGACCCTGCCCCCTCTATTCTCCTCCCCCAGGATCAGAGTACCTGGTGGGGGGTCACGAGGACTGGAGGATGGGTCATCTGCTGGTTAACACCAAGAGCCTGGTCAAACCCTGGAGACCCAGTCTGGGACTTAAGCTCCTGCACCTCCTCAACAAACACTGCAGCACCTCCTCCTCAAGGAAGACTGCTGTGGATAGACTGCTGAACATGCACATCTCCAGCTCGTAGAAGAAAGACTAGAGCCGTGCCGTGGAATGAGACGAAGAAAGGGTTGGACAGAGGGATGCAGAGTAAAAAAGCATCCATGTTTTGGTGGATTGGATGAGAAGAAGCAATTCTTTGCTTTTGCCATGTAGGCCCTCACTGACTGTTGCATCCCTACAGTCAGGAAAGCCATAGAGCCAGGAACACACTCTCTGAAATAATGACTTCCACACCAGGAAGATGATGGATGGTGTTCTGTGCGGAATGGTCCTGTATGGCTGTCGGAAAGAGTGTGGCACCAAGGTTGTGGGTTCAATTCCTGCAGGGATCATAAACGAAAACATGCAAAAAATGTATGCACATTTTAAAAGTGTCTGCTAAGTGGCATATATTCTATGATAAAAGGCAGTTGCACATCTTCTTTTACAGGAAGAGGAAAACAACTCTCTACAAAGGAAAGGCCAGATATCATCATGAGTGAAGGTTTGCTGGATGAAGAAGAATGATTGATTGAGCTGACTTTCCCTTCTGATCTTGAGCTTCCAGTACTAAAAGCCATAAGATCCACTGGTCTGGTTTGAATTCAGTTTTTATATGTTGACTGAGCTCTCCAAGGTTTGGACTCCAGACTGTTTCATCTTCAGTTCCAGCAGTTATTGGCGGTAGACCCATGAAAGCATCAACATCATTTGAATGTGTGTGTATGCACACGTCTGTGTGTATATACTCACTGTCCTTGGCTGAGAGGATATATATATACAGTGGGGAAAAAATGTATTTAGTCAGCCACCAATTGTGCAAGTTCTCCCACTTAAAAAGATGAGAGAGGCCTGTAATTTTCATCATAGGTACACGTCAACTATGACAGACAAATTGAGCATTTTTTCCCCAGAAAATCACATTGTAGGATTTTTAATGAATTGATTTGCAAATTATGGTGGAAAATAAGTATTTGGTCACCTACAAACAAGCAAGATTTCTGGCTCTCACAGACCTGTAACTTCTTCTTTAAGAGGCTCCTCTGTCCTCTAAATACTTTTTTTCCCCACTGTACAGTACCAGTCAAAAGTTTGGACACACCTACAGTCATGGTCAAAAGTTTTGAGAATGACACAAATACTAATTTACACAAAGTCTGCTGCCTCAGTTTTGATGATGGGAATTTGCATATACTCCAGAATGTCATGAAGAGTGATCAGATGAATTGCAATTAATTGCAAAGTCCCACTTTGCCGTGAAAATTAACTTAATCCCCCCAAAAAACATTTCCACTGCATTTCAGCCCTGACACAAAAGGACCAGCTGCCATCATGTCTATGATTAACACAGGTGAGAGTGTTGACAAGGACAAGGCTGGAGATCACTCTGTCATGCTGATTGAGTTAGAATAACAGACTGGAAGCTTTAAAAGGAGGGTGGTGCTTGAAATCATTGTTCTTCCTCTGTTAATCATGGTTACCTGCAAGGAAACACGTGCTGTCATCATTGCTTTGCACAAAAAGGGCTTCACAGGCAAGGATATTGCTGCTAGTAAGATTGCACCTAAATCAACCATTTATCGGATCATCAAGAACTTCAAGGAGAGAGGTTCAATTGTTCTGAAGAAGGCGTCAGGGCGCCCAAGAAAGTCCAGCAAGCGCCAGGACCGTCTCCTAAAGTTGATTCAGCTGCGGGATCGGGGCACCACCAGTGCAGAGCTTGCTCAGGAATGGCAGCAGGCAGGTGTGAGTGCATCTGCACACACAGTGAGGCGAAGAATTTTGGAGGATGGCCTGGTGTCAAGAAGGGCTGCAAAGAAGCCACTTCTCTCCAGGAAAAACATCAGGGACAGACTGATATTCTGCAAAAGGTACAGGGATTAGACTGCTGAGGACTGGGGTAAAGTCGTTTTCTCTGATGAATCCCGTTTATGATTGTTTGGGGCATCCGGAAAACACCTTGTCCAGAGAAGACATAGTGAGCGCTACCATCAGTCCTGTGTCATGCCAACAGTAAAGCATCCTGAGACCAATCATGTGTGGGGTTGCTTCTCAGCCAAGGGAGTGGGCTCACTCACAATTTTGCCTAAGAACACAGCCATGAATAAAGAATGGTAACAACACATCCTCCGAGAGCAACTTCTCCCAACCACCCAAGAACAGTTTGGTGACGACCAATGCCTTTTCCAGCATGATGGAGCACCTTGCCATAAGGAAAAAGTGATAACTAAGTGGCTCGGGGAACAAAACATCGACATTTTGGGTCCACGGCCAGGAAACTCCCCAGGCCTTAATCCCATTGAGAACTTGTGGTCGATCTTCAAGAGGCAGGTGGACAAACAAAACCCCACAAATTCTGACAAACTCCAAGCATTGATTATGCAATAATGGGCTGCCATCAGTGAGGATGTGGCCCAGAAGTTAATTGACAGCATGCCAGGGCGGATTGCAGAGGTCTTGGAAAAGTAGGGTCAACACTGCAAATATTGACTCTTTGCATAAACTTAATGTAATTTTCAATAATGCTTGTAATTATACTTCAGTATACCATAGTAACATCTGACAAAAATATCTCATAACACTGAAGCAGCGAACTTTGTGAAGACCAATACTTGTGTCATTCTCAAAACTTTTGACCACGACTGTACATACATACACACACACAGAAAGCTCTTTACCCTCTCTGACCTGTTATTGTAAAAGAGAATGTCTTTATTTAACAAATGTATCTAAACCCTTGTTATGTGGCAATTCGGTAGAACTCCAACCAGTCATCCAGGATATTGCATACTCTCCTCTGAAGACTCAAATCAAATCAAATCAACTTTTATTTGTCACATGCGCCGAATACAACAGGTGTAGACCTTACCGTGAAATGCTTACTTACAAGCCCTTAACCAACAATGCAGTTTTAAGAAAAAGACGAGTTAATACAAATATTTACTAAATCAATTAAAGTAAAAAATAAATAAGCAACAATAAAATAACAATAACGAGGCTATATACAGGGGTTACTGGTACCGAGTCAATGTGCGGGGGTACAGGTTAGTTGAGGTAATTGAGGTAATATATACAGTACCAGTCAAAAGTTTGGACACACCTACACATTCCAGGGTTTTTCTGTATTCTTACTATTTTATACATTTTAGAATAATAGTGAAGACATCAAAACTATGAAATAACACATATGGAATCATGTAGTAACCAAAAAAGTGTTAAACAAATCAACATGTAATTTCAAATAGCCACCCTTTGCCTTGATGACAGCTTTGCACACTCTTGGCATTATCTCAACCAGCTTCATGAGGTAGTCACCTGGAATGCATTTCAATTAACAGGTGTGCCTTCTTAAAAGTTAATTTGTGGAATTTCTTTCCTTCTTAATGCGTTTGAGCCAATCAATTGTGTTGTGACAAGGTGGTATACAGAAGATACCCCTATTTGGTAAAAGATCAAGTCCATATTATGGCAAGAACAGCTCAAATAAGCAAAGAGAAACGACAGTCCATCATTACTTTAAAACATGAAGGTCAGTCAATACAGAACATTTCAAGAACTTTGAAAGTTTCTTTAAGTGCAGTCGCAAAAATATGAAGCGCTATAATGAAACTGGCTCTCATGAGGACCGCCACAGCAATGGAAGGCCCAGAGTTACCTCTGCTGCAGAGGATACGTTCATTAGAGTTACCAGCCTCAGAAATTGCAGCCCAAATAAATGCTTCACAGAGTTCAAGCCACAGACACATCTCAACATCAACTGTTCAGAGGGGACTGTGTGAATCAGGCCTTCACGGTCGAATTGCTGCAAAGAAACCACTACTAAAGGACACCAATAATAGGAAGAGACCTGCTTGGGAAACACGAGCAATGGACATTAGATCGGTGGAAATGTGTCCAAATCCAACCGCCTTATCTTTGTGAGACGCGGTGTGGCTGAACGGATGATCTCTGCATGTGTAGTTCCCACCGTAAAGCATGGAGGAGGAGGTGTTATGGTGTGGGGGTGCTTTGCTGATGACACTTTCTGTGATTTATTTAGAGTTCAAGGCACACTTAACCAGCATGGCTACCACAGCATTCTGCAGCGATACGCCATCCCATCTGGGTTGGGCTTAGTGGGACTATCATTTGTTTTTCAACAGGTCAATGACCCAACACACCTCCAGGCTGTGTAAGGGCTATTTGACCAAGAAGGAGAGTGATGGAGTGCTGCATCAGATGACCAGGCCTCCACAATCCCCCGACCTCAACCCAATTGAGATGGTTTTGAATGAGTTGGACCGCAGAGTGAAGGAAAAGCAGCCAAAAAGTGCTCAGCATAAGTGGGAAGTCCTTCAAGACTGTTGGAAAAGCATTCCAGGTGAAGCTGGTTGAGAGAATGCTAAGAGTGTGCAAAGCTGTCATCAAGGCAAAGGGTGGCTACTTTGAAGAATCCCAAATATAAAACATATTTTGATTTGTTTAACACTTTTTTAGTTTGTACTTGATTCCATATGTGTTATTTCATTGTTTTGATGTCTTCACTATTATTCTACAATGTAGAAAATAGTAAAAATAAAGAAAAACTCTTGAATGAGTAGTGTGTCTATTTGAATGGAATTGATGGAGAGAGACTGCTCGCGCATGCTCTGATTTAAAGCAACAATATTCGAGTGACAGGCTGTTTTCTACGTTCATAGGCCTTCGTTCATTGTGAACTGCACTCCATACTGAGATGGGCTGTCTGTCCCCACCATCAGCGTTCATTGATCATACAGAGAGCAGAGAGATGGCCTTAGAGAAGGCAGATTTAATTAATAATTTAACAGTTCCATTTCACGTCATGCTGTTGATATAAATAATTTATTATAATTTACTGGTTTCTCGCAGTTATTTATCCCGGGAAAAGGGAGTGGTTTTGGGCGGTAGACCGAGTTCCCACCATTCAACCATAGACTGGGACTCAGTAGGCCCAAACAGGTAGAAGAGAGAGAACAGAAGAGAGAATTGTAAAAAACATTAAAGGGATAAATCGGCTAATCTCTTCAGTTCCCTGAGCTCCCCCTCTTGCCTGTGTGTGTGTGTGTGCTCCCCCACTCCCCTGTCTGTCTGACAGAGGGAATACTCTAGAGCACTGAACTGACCAAGACGCTCTCAGTTTAGAAATGAACTGACTCCACGCATGTCCTCTCTCAACCATTATATCTGATGTAATTGGATCTTTGTCAGGTTTAAGGTCGAAATATAACATAACGAGGTCTGCCTACTGTCATGGTAGTGTGTCTTCATAAGGCCTACTTCTGTTTCATTCAGGGATGTAGTGGTAGAAAAACTGGTGGGTAAACCCTGAGTGCCTTGGGTAAAAAGAGGTGATACCCTAATGCAATATATTTATTTTATTGGGTGCAATTGTGGTCAAATCATATGGTTCACTGCAGCGGAAGAACTCTGGCGAAGTTAAGAGATTAATATGTACTCAGCATTTGAAAGGTGAACTGAGTTTACCCTCCGCTACAACACCGATTCCACTCCATATCAGGTTGTTGTGGGAGACTTAAGTTAGCTAACAGAAACTAACCCCCATGCGTTTCTCTCATTAGTAAACAACCCAACAACCCCTTATTAATCCCCAAATAAACATTGAGCTACTTAAAGTAAGGGATGAATTGACTTCACTGTGTGTCTGATCTAGATCTTGAGGGGCTGACAATACATACAGTATTTGACCCAGACTCAACAGGCATAAGAAGTCCTGTGTTGCTGTCTCTAAGGAGTAGCTAGGTCAGTAACTGCTGGCCTGGTCTGGCTGGAGAGACATGATGTATTCCTTTACTATGACATAATCAGTTAGACTATGTCCTTGTACCAAAGACTATTAACGGGAGGGAGTTTGGACATAAATGGGAATGGAATTTGCATGTGGCGGATAATGTTGTGATGGGATACATGAATCATATCACAATCATATCATCTGTATCTTGTATATAAAATGTGATGCCTTATACTGTAACTGTATGCATTAAGAGTCACGCCCATGGCCTATGTCCTATATTTTTGTATTAAATGGACATAAATGGGTTGGAATTTGCATGCTGTGAATAGTGCACAGGTAGCCGTATGGGATCCAATGGTTATGCATGTCATTATCATAGCATTCGTTTTTTCCACATACCCTATGATGCCTTACGTACTACTGTATATGCATAACGTTTCATAGACATGCCTATGGAGTATGTCTGACATTTGTAAGAATATGGTCTTGATTTGACTTGTTGCTATCTTAAGGTTAGTAACAAGTCTATCTTTGAAGCACAATTGTGTAATGTGGAATTCTGTTAGTTGTCTTGCCTGTGAACTAACTGAAGAGTACATGTAATAATATCGCCCTCCTTTGGTTAAAAATGAAAATACAATATTTTAAACCCTTGTCTTTCACTGAATACAGTGGCTATCTGATGATGCAGTCAAATATGAAGACCATAGAAACAAAGACAGATGTAAGATTTGTAACAATACCATTTCTTTATTTTAAAAAAATGCCTCAAAATAAAATACAGCGGACAAACAAAATATAGAAATATAAATATTTTCATAGCAGGTACAGTGGGGAAAAAAAGTATTTAGTCAGCCACCAATTGTGCAAGTTCTCCCGCTTAAAAAGATGAGAGAGGCCTGTAATTTTCATCATAGGTACACATCAACTATGACAGACAAATTGAGAAAAAGAAATCCAGAAAATCACATTGTAGGATTTTTTATGAATTTATTTGCAAATTATGGTGGAAAATAAGTATTTGGTCACCTACAAACAAGCAAGATTTCTGGCTCTCACAGACCTGTAACTTCTTCTTTAAGAGGCTCCTCTGTCCTCCACTCGTTACCTGTATTAATGGCACCTGTTTGAACTTGTTATCAGTATAAAAGACACCTGTCCACAACCTCAAACAGTCACACTCCAAACTCCACTATGGCCAAGACCAAAGAGCTGTCAAAGGACACCAGAAACAAAATTGTAGACCTGCACCAGGCTGGGAAGACTGAATCTGCAATAGGTAAGCAGCTTGGTTTGAAGAAATCAACTGTGGGAGCAATTATTAGGAAATGGAAGACATACAAGACCACTGATAATCTCCCACGATCTGGGGCTCCACGCAAGATCTCACACCGTGGGGTCAAAATGATCACAAGAACGGTGAGCAAAAATCCCAGAACCACATGGGGGGACCTAGTGAATGACCTGCAGAGAGCTGGGACCAAAGTAACAAAGCCTACCATCAGTAACACACTACGCCGCCAGGGACTCAAATCCTGCAGTGCCAGACGTGCCCCGCTGCTTAAGCCAGTACATGTCCAGGCCCGTCTGAAGTTTGCTAGAGTGCATTTGGATGATCCAGAAGAGGATTGGGAGAATGTCATATGGTCAGATGAAACCAAAATAGAACTTTTTGGTAAAAACTCAACTCATCGTGTTTGGAAGACAAAGAATGCTGAGTTGCATCCAAAGAACACCATACCTACTGTGAAGCATGGGGGTGGAAACATCATGCTTTGGGGCTGTTTTTCTGCAAAGGGACCAGGACGACTGATCCGTGTAAAGGAAAGAATGAATGGGGCCATGTATCGTGAGATTTTGAGTGAAAACCTCCTTCCATCAGCAAGGGCATTGAAGATGAAACGTGGCTGGGTCTTTCAGCATGACAATGATCCCAAACACACCGCCCGGGCAACGAAGGAGTGGCTTCATAAGAAGCATTTCAAGGTCCTGGAGTGGCCTAGCCAGTCTCCAGATCTCAACCCCATAGAAAATCTTTGGAGGGAGTTGAAAGTCTGTGTTGGCCAGCGACAGCCCCAAAATATCACTGCTCTAGACGAGATCTGCATGGAGGAATGGGCCAAAATACCAGCAACAGTGTGTGAAAACCTTGTGAAGACTTACAGAAAACGTTAGACCTGTGTCATTGCCAACAAAGGGTATATAACAAAGTATTGAGAAACTTTTGTTGTTGACCAAATACTTATTTTCCACCATAATATGCAAATAAATTCATTAGAAATCCTACAATATGATTTTCTGGATTTTTTTTTCTCATTTTGTCTGTCATAGTAAAACGTGTAGCTATGATGAAAATTACAGGCCTCTCTCATCTTTTTAAGTGGGAGAACTTGCACAATTGGTGGCTGACTAAATACTTTTTTTCCCCACTGTATATATATTTTCCACAGGTTTTTTCCAAGTCATTGAAGCTTTTCACTATTAAGTAACATATTGAGGTGTTCACCCAAAACATAGGGAGCAATTTTGCTTATTTCATTTTATTCTAAATAAGCAATACAGCAATCAATTAAATATGATAAACAAAATGACAAGATTCTTCTTCTTGCTTTTTAGATGCCCTTAGTTATTGGCTTGATCCTTTGAAATAATACATGTAATAAGTAAGCTACTGCCTTGACACCAGTCTCATACTCTTGCTAAAACTCTAAGCTACTGAAGGTTTGGATTCAGGCAACATAAAATTATGTCACAACAACGTTGAATAAATGTTATGTGTCTAGTGAGGATTCCTGTCTGTTTTTTTACTGGGTTGTGTTCATTAGGCACCAAACGGAAGAAGAAAAAAACTAACACAGAGGGACTAACTGGACTTGTCCAATAAGAAACACTCAATCTCATTTTCTGTTGCAAAATATTTTAAAGGTTTGTGCCCTAATGAACAGGACCCTGATTTATCTTCTCTCATTCTTTCTCTTCCTGTTCTTCTTGGTTTGAGGTCAGCCGGCCTACGGCGCATGCTCAGTAGTCATCCCCGCGGCTCACCACTTCCTTACAGGTGGGCCTGAGTAGGATGGTGTGTTCATACTGGGCGGTGTAGGAGCCCTTTGTGTCACAGAGCGGCGGGTACGGGTCTATGATGCCCAGGTCACACAGGTTCTTCAGGGCCATCAGGTACTTGCTCTCTCCCTGCCGGTCCAACCAGCGGCGGCAGAATGCCAACGTCCCAAAGTTCTCATTGATCACGTTGAGCAGATGCTTGGCCCTGGGGAGTCTGACGCAGAACAGGGAGAGAGGAGGAGAGGGAACACACAGGAAAGGAGTGACAGTCACCCTTCAGCAGTGCTTGAAGTGGAATGAAAAAGGTGCCAGTACTCATTTTAATTTAGCACCGGTAATCATACTTTAGAGTGAATATTCCGGTACTCAAGCAGTAGAAAATGTGAGGCGTGCACCAATGTTTTTTTGGAATAACAGGTGAGTACAGTCCTAATACCCTGACTACACCGGCCATGTTCTGTGCGTGAGTGTTGCAAAAATAAATGTACACATACATGTTATTCAATAATTTCATCCACACTACTTGCACGTGTCAACAAGCTTCTGCTATGCCAAACGCTAAAATAGTACTTGGTTCTGTTAAAGACCATCCTCAGCGAGGACGATACAAACCGGAAACATCCGGCTTTCAGGGATACAGTCTCTCCAACCTAACTTTCTTTTCCCCTGAAAACTGGATGTGGGTAACCCGCTCAGGCGTTTCTTTTATGCCTGCTACGTTAGGTTAATTTGAGACGCTTGACGCGCTGCAAGTCCTGCCTCTTCCCATCTCCTTATTGGTTTTCACAAAGATACAACCTCACGTGGTTGCTTGAAAGACGAACAAGGATATGTTAATCAACCCTTTTTTTGGTGGAATAATCGTTGGGAGTAGATAAACACATGATTTTTGTATGATCCGGGTCAAAATTCTACAAAGAACCAGATAAAAAGGGGAACGTGCATGATCAGGTAAAATAACAACCCAATGTTCATCTCACAGAACAAAGTGCTAGCAACAGCTATCTACCTAAATGTTCATGAATGTTTCATGTGTGTTTCGACCTGTCCCCAAATTAATATAGTTGGTTCACAGTTTGTTTTGGTATTTTAACCTGCGTGTCAAGATCGTATCTGGTGGGGATAGACAAAATCAACATGCTCTCGATGGCGCACGTGCGGGTCTGGTGTAGCCATAGTGTAAGAATAATTCACAAATCTTTATCACATAATGAGTAGTTATTTGGGAAGCAAGATCATTTGTAAAGCAGTCATTCTGCACAGTGTTGATGCCCTTGTGTGCCATGAGTGTCTCTGATGTCTTTAACAGAGTCAAGACAAAATTACATCTACAGAGTGTACAAAACATTAGGAATACCTTCCTAATATTGAGTTGCACCCCCCTTTGTCCCTCAAAACAGCCTCAATTCGTTGGGGCATGGACTCTACAAGGTGTCGAAAGCATTCCACAGGGATGCCGGCCCATGTTGACTCCAATGCTATCTACATTTGTGTCAAGTTGGCTGGATGTCCTTTGGGTGGTGGACCATTCTTGATACACATGGGAAACTGTTGAGTGTGAAAAACCCAGCAGCGTTGCAGTTCTTAACACTCAACTGGTGCGCCTGGCACCTACTACCATACCCCGTTCAAAGGCACTTAAATGTTTTGTCTTGCCCATTCACCCTCTGAATGGCACACATAAAAATAATTATTTAACCTGTCTCCCCTTCATCTACACTGATTGAAGTGGATTTGACAGGTGACATCAATAGGGGATCATAGCTTTCACCTGGTCAGTCTATGTCATGTAAAGAGCAGGTGTTCCTAATGTTTTGTACACTCAGTGTAGAATTCTACTTAGCATTGATGTTCAGTATCATCATTCAGCATTCAAATCAGGTAAGGCTCGCACTCAGCGAGCACCGATCGAACCGAGTGACCAACCTTATTGGCACGTGTCCAACGTTGAAGTTTTTCATGTAATGCGAGCATTCCATGTCATCGTGAACCGCTCCCCTCCCAGTGCTGCCAAATGTCTCGATTGCATACACCTCACCTTCCTGTGGAGCAGAAGGGTAGAGGAGGACACAGTAAACTCAGCAGATCCTAGAAACAACTGCTTGACCGTAATCCATCTGCAACTCACATAAGACCAAAGTCCTTCAAACTGAAAGCCACTATTGGCAATTGGGAACAGCCACAAGGAAACAAGGAGAGAAACCCACAGCACTTTTTATAGGAAATGTCATTGACAACCTTCTGGTAACGAATGCAAATCTTTACATTTACATTTACATTTTACGTCATTTAGCAGACGCTCTTATCCAGAGCGACTTACAGTTAGTGCATACATTATTCTTTTTTATTTTCATACTGGCCCCCCGTGGGAATCGAACCCACAACGCCATGCTCTACCAACTGAGCTACCTCCCTAGAGATTAAATGTATTTTTTTTACAAGAATCAACATCATAGATGAGCAAACATTTCTGTTAATGTCATTACAGTTACTCCATCATCTCTTATAGTGTTCTTACACACACAATCTGGGTGTGATCTATTGAAGAGGTCTTTATCACACACACACACACACACACACACCAATCCCTCCTTCCCCGCACACATACACACAGAGCTCATCAGCTCTCTATCGGGTCGTTGTGGTTGTTCAAGGCCCTGGGGTATTAACTGATAACACTGTGACACCCTCCCTCTCTGTCTGCTCAGATAATCCCTCAAAGTGAGAGCAGCCCCGCGGGCACGCCCCGCTGACACCACTACACTCCACATAGAGAGAGACAAGCACACACCAGCAAGCAAGCACACCACACACACACTCACACAAAGAGGGTAACGGCCCTAACGCACCAACACTCACTCCAGCTAAAAATATAACCCTCAAAGATGCCACATCAGCAACTCATTGCCTCTCTCCCTGGCTTCGCTGGAAACATCAGCAAAACGCACCACTCAGCAGCTTGCCAATTAAAAAGGGCCAATTCTGTCCAAACTGAGTTAAGCATTGCAGCTGTCTGTGTGAGCGAGGGTGGTGAATAGGCTATGGACCTCTGTGACATCACCCAACGTGGTTCCTATCTGCCTCAGATCAATCTCAGACCCGGTAGCCTGATCCCAGATCTGTTTGTGCTGTCTTCCCAAATCCTTTGATCATGTTGCGTTGGGTTGGCAAGACAGAACAAACTGATTTGTGACCCCAGGCTAGTGGACCTCAACCTCACCCAACATGTCAATCCTCAACCTACTCAGATCCAGTAGCCTCGTCCCAGATCTGTTTGTGCTGTCCTGCCAACAATGACCACAGGGATACAAGACAGCACAAACAGATCTGGGACCAAGGTACACATCCTGGGGCAGGTATCTATGCGATATCTTCTCCTTTAGTGAGGTAAATGGTCATTCATTGACTTTGAGTGGTGAGAACTCGATGCGCTTCGAGATGCAATAAGGAGATGGCGTTTCAACAAGTGGTGCTACTCACTCCTTGATGCTTCTGGCTGGTAATGTGATTAAAGGTGTAATTAAAGCACCGAAGAGGGTGACTAAGAAGGTGTTGGAGTGTGTGTGTGTGTGTGTGAGAGAGCGAGAGAGATGTGGATCTGAGCTCATCTCGACACTGTGTTGTAACTCTACACAGCCTAGAGATATTCTTTCAATAACACTTAATCAAGGGTTTTAATGATATGCTACTTCAAGATAAACTTTTTTAAAAGATAGAAATTCTGAACTGATTAAACTTGCATGAGAGGAGATGTGTACCATGAGTTTGTTGTTGCAGACATGTTGGGAAAATATGAAGAAGAAGAAGAAGAAGAAGAAGAAGAAGAAGAAGAAGAAGAAGAAGAAGAAGAAGAAGAAGAAGAAGAAGAAGAAGAAGAAGAAGAAGAAGAAGAAGAAGAAGAAGAAGAAGAAGAAGAAGAAGAAGAAGTTTTACTAAATTGTATCCAAAGTAACATCTCAAAAAACCTTCTGTTCAAATGAATAAGAGACAAGTTCAACGAGTTCAGCTGCTTTAACATCCAGTCCCTATTACATTTGGTGGCCTTCTGTACAAATGAGCATAAGAAGATAAGGGTTACCTCCATCCTGGTAGCTTCTCCTCCCTTGACGATGGGAACAGTCTTGCCTGCGTGTATCCTGTACTGTCCGATGGAGTGGCCATTGAGGTTCCTGATTGGCTTCACTACATAGGGAAAAATAAATATATATATATATATATATATATATATATATATATATATATAGATACAAAAATTTTTTATTTATCTATATTTATTAATATATCTGCAGTATATCTATAGTTGTAATATTTATATATCTTTATAAAGTGCATTCGGAAAGTATTCAGACCCCTTCACTTTTTCCACATTTTGTTACATTACAGCCTTATTCTAAAATTGATTAAATTGTGTTTTTTCCCCTCATCAAACTACACACAGTACCCCATAATGACGAAGCAAAAACAGGTTTTTAGAAATGTTTCAAAAGAACTGAAATATCACATTTACATAAGTATTCAGACACTTTACTCAGTACTTTGTTGTTTGGCAGTGATTACAGCCTCAAGTCTTCTTGGGTATGACGCTACAAGCTTGGCACACTTGTATTTGGGGAGTTTCTCCCATTCTTCTCTGCATTTCCCCTCAAGCGCTGTCAGGTTGGAAGGGGAGCGTTGCTGCACAGCTATTTTCAGGTCTCTCCAGAGATGTTTGATCGGGTTGAAGTCCGGGCTCTGGCTGGGCCACTCAACGACATTCAGAGACTTGTCCCGAAGCCACTCCTGCGTTGTCTTGGCTGTGCGCTTAGGGTGATTGTCCTGTTGGAAGGTGAACCTTCGCCCGAGTCTGAGTTCCTGAGCGCTCTGGAGCAGGTTTTCATCAAGGATCTTTCTGTACTTTGCTCCGTTCATCTTTCCCTCGATCCTGATTAGTCTCCCAGTCCCTGCCGCTGAAAAACATCCCCACAGCATGATACTGCCACCACCACGCTTCACCGTAGGGATGGTGCCAGGTTTCCTCCAGACGTGACGCTTGGCATTCAGGCCAAAGAGTTCAATCTTGGTTTCATCAGACCAGATAATCTTGTTTCTCATGGTCTGAGAGTCTTTAGGTGCCTTTTGGCAAACTCCAAGTGGGCTGTCATGTGCCTTTTACTGAGGAGTGGCTTCTGTCTGGCCCCTCTACCATAAAGGCCTGATTGGTGGAGTGCTGCAGAGATGGTTGTCCTTCTGGAAGGTTCTCCCATCTCCACAGAGGACCTCTGGAGCTCGGTTTCTTGGTCACCTCCCTGAACAAGGCCCTTCTCCCCCGATTGCTCAGTTTGGCCAGGCGGCCAGCTCTAGGAAGAGTCTGGGTGGTTCTAAACTTCTTCCATTTATGAATGATGGAGGCCACTGTGTTCTTGGGGAACTTCAATGCTGCTGACATTTGTTGTTACCCTTCCCCAGATCTGTGCCTTGACACAATCCTGTCTCGGAGCTCTACGGACAATCCTTCAACCTCATGGCTTGGTTTTTGCTCTGACATGCGCTGTCAACTGTGGGACCTTATATAGACAGGTGTGAGCCTTTCCAAATCATATCCAATCATTTGAATTTACCACAGGTGGATTCCAAACAAGTTGTAGAAACATCTCAAGGATGATCAATGGAAACAGGATGCAGCTGAGCTCTATTTCGAGTCTCATAGCAAAGGGTCTGAATACTTATGTAAATAAGGTATTTCTGTTTTTAATTTGTCAAAATGTGCAAAAATGTATAAAAACCTGTTTTCGCTTTGTCATTATGGGGTATTGTGTGTAGATTGATGAGGAAAAAAATAATGTAATCCATTTTAGAATAAGGCTATAACGTAACAAAATGTGGAAAAAGGGAAGGGGTCTGAATACTTTCCGAATGCACTGTAGATAAATATATCTGCAATATATCTGTAATTGTAATTTCCCACATCAAACCAGCAAACATAAAGAGGCAAACAGTTTCCTAAATAAACAAACCAACAGACAGACAGACAGACAGACTGATACCTTGGTATGTTTTCCCATCTATCTCCACCTCATAAGACTCCATGACCTCCTGGATGGTTTCACCCACGTCACACAGACGCACATCTATCCCTGCACACTGGGAAAACACTTTAAACTTAAACATGCTCTCTCCACAGGGATCACAAACGGACAAGAGTTGACAGTTACACAAGCATTCATCAACCATCTCTACACAGCTCATTATCAGACGAGTGGTGAGTGAGAGTTACATCACATATCCTCTGATGTTAGCTGGCATCCAAGATATGGTCATTTATCCAAAGCGGCTTACAGACCTGTCGACATTAACATACAGTATATTCAGTATTCGTGGCCCATGTGGGAATCAAACCCACAGCCCTAGTGTTGCCAGAATCATGCTATAACCGACTGAGCAATTGGAACCAAAGTAATAGTGCATGGATGAATGGGTTGAGTTACTTTGATGCCTGTGTTGGTAGCATCTCTCACAGCCTCCAGTAGTCTGTCATACTTTGGGTTGAAGGTCACGGTAAAGGCACAGTCAATGATTCGACCTAAAACACCAACAACATGAACATAAGGAGGTGATGCTTTATCTGACGTCTTGTTTCAGCTGGTATTGTAATATTCGAGGAGTGTAATTACTAGGTAATCATCATGTAACTACAGTACCATTTTACCATTTTATATTTAAACAAGTGTATCAGGTATGGCAAGACAGTAAAAGAGGGACACTCAATCCTGCTTTTGGAGAGACTGCAGTACTCCAGGTGTTTGTACCAGCTCAGCAGTAGAACACCTGATTCAGCTCATCAAGGTGTTGAAAATCAGTTGATTAGTTGAATCAGATGTGATGGGATTCAATTGCTGGAACAAAAACCTTCAGTATTGCGGATTGATCTATTATTGCTTTAAAATGCAAGTGCAACCAGATACAGACATAAGGCCGGGTATCTGTAAAGCCCTTTGTGACAACTGCTGATGCAGAAATGGCTTTATAAAATACATTTGATTGATTTGAGACATATATTACACAAAACAAAACCACAGACATAGACTTTAGGAGGTCAGGTTATTGTCGAGCACTTTGTGACAACTGCTGATGTCTAACAAGGTTTAGAAATACATTTTATTGAGAGCTTGATTCAGTGCCATTTCTGACCATTTATGCTCGTGACAAAGTTTATTTATATAAATGTGATTGATTGATTGATTGAAGTATCACAAAACATAACTACAGACTGAACAGAAACAGAAACTGAGTGTCAGTGTGCTGACTGACCGTTTATGTGCGTGCCAAAGTCTATCTTGCAGACGTCGTCATACTGCAGTACTGTGGGGTCTCCAGCGTTGGGGGTGTAGTGGGCAGCAACGTGGTTGATGGAGCAGCCGGTGGGGAATGCCAGGCCAGCCTTCAGACCATTCTCCTTGATTAGCCTCCTACTGCAGTCCTCCAACCGCTCACTGTGACACACAGACAGCTGTCAGGTTTAACGTTCAGGATATGTTCACTTCAGCAACATACAGGTAACTGCCACAATAAAGGAAACGCCAACATAAAGTGTCTTAATAGGGCGTCGAGCCACCATGAGCCAGAACAGCTTCAATGCACCTTGCCATATATTCTACAAGTGTCGACACCATTGTTACATGAGTAATTCCATCATTTGGTGTTTTGTTGGTGGTGGTGGAAAACTGTCTCAGCACCACTCCAGAATCTCTCATAAGTGTTCAACTGGGTTGAGATCTGGTGACTGAGACGGCCATGGCATATGGTTTACATAGTATTCATGCTCATCAACCCATTCAGTGACCACTCGTGCCTTGTGGATGGGGGAATTGTCATCCTGTGGGGGCATAGCCATGGTAGCCAAAATAATGGCCAAAAGAATGGCCTGCCCAGCATTTGTATACATTACCCTAAACATGATGGAATGTTAGTTGATTAATTAGCTCAGGAACCACACCTGTGTGGAAGCACCTGCTTTCAATATACTTATATCCCTCATTTCCTCAAGTGTTTCCATTATTTTGGCAGTTACCTGTAGGTTAACCGTACAATTTAATAAAGTCTCACTCATAGAGCAGTCCTCCAACCACTCACTGACAGGCAGGGACCACAGCAGACAGGGACAGGTGTCACATTCAGGATATTTTCACTTCAGCAACACAGGTTAACCATGCAGGTTAACAAAGTCTCACTCAATGATCCTCAATGCTGCTCCTATTGCACTCCAGTAATTAATCAAATCAGGTGTTTCACTGCTGAGCTAGGACAAAAACCTACAGTACTGCGACTCTCCAGGTGCAGGATTGAGAATCACTCAAATATCTCAAATACATCAATAAACAATATGACTGAAGTGAACAACAGCCAAGTACAGTACAGTGGTATCACATGACAGTTTGTACAGTACCAAGGCCTATATGATTTGTGAATGAACCTCACCAGATGTCAATCATGGTCATCCCAGGTTTGATCCAGGTATTCACGTAGTTTCGGACCTGTCTGTGGGCCTCGGCAGCCTGACGGAAGTCACTCCACATCTCCTCGTTAGCCTTGTCTAGGACCCTCTTCTCCTCATGGGTGGTCCTCCACGCTGCACTGCGCCTGGTGGGGAGGAACACACACACCCACCGGCGTGCGCGCACACACACACGAAAACACACATGGAGTCACATGGAGACATACACACCCAGACATGTATGGACACTCTCTCTCACACACACACAACACACACATGCACACATGCCACAGACAGCACATTCTTTATCGTCTCATTATGCAAATGTTTTCTAATGGGATTATGATGTCAAACAACAAGTTCAGGAAATGATGCAGCATTCACTGCAGTTTATAATGCAGGTATACTGTAGATTAACATACCGGTAGTGTGAGTACATTTTAATGCAGTGTATGCAGGTATAGATGAGTTTGTGTCTCTAATTCATTCTTTTATTTAACCTTGATCAAACCAATAAAGTGAATAAAGACAGAATTGTTGTGAATACAATGTTATGTTATCTTGGGTGACTGAGGCACATCCAATATTTTTATTAGGTTTCAGAATATGAAGTATGATGGACTATAAAAACCACAGAGGCCTCGATAAGATCTATGGCCACCACACTGCATAAGGCCAATGCACTTGGTAGAGGTGACATACCCATCTTTAGATGGGGGATATTCACACTCCTCTCCCTTTGGGAAGTCTCCACTGGGATACAGCTCACAAATAGGGATGGAGGGAGGGTCAGTCTGTCCCTTCACTGTGTCCCAGATAGGAGAGGGAAGGAGAGGAAGGAGAGAGGGGAGGACGAGAAGAGAGGAGGAGAGGTAGAGAGAGGTTAGCCTCTGCAGATGTGCAACACATTGTTGCAATTAGCAACACATGGTCACATATGGTCACAGCACATGCTACAGCAGGGTTCCCCAATAAGCGGCCCGAGGGTGATTTTATTTGGCCCCCCAAGTTTTCTGAGCATAAAAAATTTTAATCATAATAATAATTTGAGTTATTGGACATAAAAGACTGTAAAATCACCAGGAAATGAGCTCAAAGTGATTTTAATTTAGGAAATCTGTTCCCCAATATTTCTACGCACAAATAAAGAGGCATATGTGATTGCATCCCAATGTAATGAAGGTTTGAAATTATTCTGTATATGTCAAATATTATGTCTGTTTGGGATTCTTGCGGTCAATTTGCAGTGTACAAATTATTTATAACTATGTTCCGGCCCCCCGACAATCCGCTCAAGGGAAAATCGTCCCAAGGCTGAATGTAATTGGGGAACCCTGTGCTCCAGGGTGTATGACAATATATGCTTACACGGTAGCTACCGAATGTATAACGTTATGTGTATAACATTACAGGTGTACAAACAGTCTACTATGAGGCGATCTCTTCTCAAGAAACAAACCTCCTCAGGTCAGAAAATGCCAATATGTTTTGTATGCCATCTGTGAGCCATCAAAGGTTGTCCTGTATCCACTGATGTAACAAAGGGAACTCAAACCATGCAGTGGAGGAAGAAATGCCCACATCAAGAACAAACTCACCTCCTTTCTTCTTCTTCTTCTTCTTCTTCTTTTTCCCTGCTGAGTTCTCACCCTCTTCTCCATCTGTCCAAAACATTCATTGTTTATTCTCTTAACAAACATGACGTGTTCAGTCACAATTCACAGTGTTTGCGGTTAACTGTTAACACATAAGAAGTTACATTAACGCACCGCCACAGCAGATGCCAACTCATGTCAGGTCAAATTCTGAGTTTGTTGGATAAAAGGGCCAAATCGGGACTTCAAGATCCGTATGAGAACGATAATGACAATGATGAAGATAATGATGATGAAGTCAAAGAGGACTTTAGAAGTGGTTCAGTCACAATACCCAGTGCAGTTCTTGCAGTTAATGTAGTTCGTCAATGCACCAAGCCCATGTCACATGTTGAGTATGAGTATGACGATGGTGAATGATGATGAAGTTGAAGTCAAAGAGTCGTACCATCCACTCCATCCTCCTTCTCTTTGTCCTCCAGCAGAGCTTGCTGCTCCAACTGTTTCGTCACATCACCAACACCTCCTCCGGTATCTCCATCCCCCTCAGCCTCATTTGTCCCTGCTGCAAAGTCATTCACACACACACACACACACATGTGCACACACACACACACACTCAGTGAGTAAATTGTTCATGGTTCTGAGTCATTTTGAGAAAGTGCATCTACTGTGATCAGAACTTGGCAGGAGCCATGCATAATTTCTATCTATCTATACCTTAGGAATCAATATCCCAAGGGCATATGTAGGTACCTTGCAGCATTATGCCATGCCATTTAGCCCTTCAGAAACGGGACTACTCTAGTCTATAGAGCAATAGTTAAACATGCTCCAGAAAATAAGATCAAGTCCACATGTGTTTTTACAAGATAAGATAGCCTATGCTTGTCACATAGTTTTGTCAGCAATTATTTTAATGCTAGAGCATGCTTTCTTTTTATCCCTAGTGGGCTCTTTTATAAGGCAAGGCAAGTGCTGAAAAGTACTGGAATATCACTGTCATGTACAGACAATTTATATGTTATCTGCCTATTCCTGTTTAAAGCAACATCCTTCAATATTCGAATTTGACAACATTCCATCAAACCAATAGAAGAAGAGACATTTCAAGCCTCGAGAGGGGCATTGTCCCGTTTCCAGATGTGCATCTGCCAGTCAGCCCTCATAACGGGACCGGGACCGGGACCGGGACCCTGTGTTCACTTACAGGTATGGGACAGCTGTGACTTTCCTGCTTTTTTACGCTATGGCACAAATGGGAGCCCTCAATAATTGGCTATTTCCAAAACGGCATTTATCCACAATGTTATGCGTCTTACCTGCGGCAGCAGTCTTATTATTTTTCTTTTTTCTTCTCTTTTTCTTCCCTGATTCCGAGGGCTCCTCGTCCTCTTTCTCTTCGTTCTCGCCGGCGTCCCCATTGAGAACTTCGGGCGCCTCCAGTTCAGGCTGCACTGTCTCGAGCTCCGCCATGATCGGCGGCAGGAATGAAGTGACGCATAAACTGCTGGGAGCCTCCAGTGGCCAGATTCTGAAACAGACATCAACTGCAGCATGTGTCTGTGCTCGAGGCAGAGCCTACCTGCCTGGGCAGAGGCAGCTGAGCCATTAAACAGCTATAAGGCACTTTGTGCAATTTCTTGACCTCAAAAGAGAAAACTAAGCCCGTCCTATCTTAATGACAAGATATGAGTGTAGGCTAGTGCATTAATACTGTTTGGAGTGTCTGAGTTTGCGATTCTATACTAACTTTGTTGATGTTTGTGTTCCAACATAGGTCCATTTCAAGGTTATAGTATGAAAAATTATGTACAGTATTATTAAAGTCAACTAGATTATCAAATGTACATACACATTATTACAATGACACTAGTCATTCAAATGAGTAAGAAATAAAGAATAAAAAGAGAGCCCTTGATCCAAAGTGTATTTAAAATGACATAAAATTACTAAGTCTATGAAATGTTATCATCACTCAGTAGCCAACAGCTGGCATGGGACACTTCTGATGTCCTCAGTGAATGGCCCATAAGGGATGCAGGCCAGAATCAAATCACCACTTTATCATCGTGAACAATTATCATCCAATTATGTCCTAGCGCTTCCATCTCAAATTACTGGGCTCTCTTTGTGCACTGGGGGACGGGGACCGCTTTGTTTCGCATAACTTGTGTTTGCAAGTTATCAAGCGCTCGAGCCACATTCTATTTTTAGAATAGGAGTGATCCGGTGGTTTGTATTGTCGCTGTTATGCTTTCAGATAGTCTACAGGATTGGATCATTTCTGGTGCGTGAACACATTTATAGACTGCCCGAGCGCATTGTATCCAAGCAACAAGCTTCCGCAAAATCAAACTAAAAGGATGAAGGTTACATTTACAGGAAATGAACAGGGAGGTTTGGCCAATGTTATTCTGACTGACACCTGTACTCGCTTCTCTTCTTCTACTGGGGTTCAAATGTGTGTCTTTGGCACCAGATCTAGACAATATGTTCAGTTTTTTAATACTGTTATGGAGTTTATAGTTGAGTGGAATGATTAATAATGATATATTTAAGACCCCGACCACTGTATTTCTTTGACCAGGTGAGGTAACCAATGGACATTATTATTCTATAATTATGGAATATAGAGGAAACATGGGATAATTAGGCGAATCATAACTTTACACCTCTCTTGCCAACAGGACAGGGATGCAGGGCGCCTTGAGAATGCACATGCATGGATCATTCCTTTGATTTGGCAAATGAACAGTGGTGTAAAGTACTTAAGTAAAAATACTTTAAAGTACTACTTAATAACCATTTACTGAAGTGGGCTAAATCAGGGTCACACAGAGTGTTTCTTGGTAGTCTTAAACAAATCTTTTTTTGAAACAAAAGTATTGTCACAAATTCAGGTGAGGCTGCTCCTCCTCCTTGCTCGGGCAGGCTTCGGCGTTTGTCGTCACCGGAGTACTAGCTGCCACCGATCTATGTTTCTGTTTTCTACTTGTTTTGTCTAATTTGCACACACCTGGTTCCAATCACGATAATTTGTTTCCCTATTTTACCCTCTGGTTCCCTCATGGTGTTGTGCGTGATTGTTCGTTGTTTTGTTGTCATTGACATGTTAGTCGGTATTTTCTTCCCTGTGTGGAAGATATGTTATTTACTCTTGACAAGTAAAGTACGTAGTTGACTAAGTTCTGTGTCCTGCGCCTGACTCCGTCCTACCGCTACACACTGACGCATGACAGAATCACGCACCATTATGGAGTCAGCAGGTACATCCATTCCTCCAGGATCAGTGGAGGAATGCATCCAGCAGCACTCGACCATGCTACAGACTCTTGGCACAGCCATGGATCGAGTGGTACAGACTATGGAGCGATGGGAGAGAGGGGGTTTTCTACACCTCCTTCCACTACAATTCACCCCAACACCTCAATTCACCCCACACCGTTGTCCACCCCTTCACCACCTGGATCCAGTGGGATTTGGCTCTCGCTCCCTAGGGCATATGATGGAACAGCTGCCGGGTGCCAGGGGTTTCTGCTCCAGGTGGAGCTCTACCTGGCAACCGTCCACCCGGCTCCCTCGGGATACGAGAGCGTGTCCGCCTTCATCTCCTGTCTGTCGGGGAAAGCGCTCGAGTGGGCCAATGCTGAGTGGGGAGGAATAGACGCGGCATCGGTGCGCTATGAAGAGAGGGAGAGCGGCGGGGGAACGGTTGTTCCACTTCAGACAGGTGTTACGTTCTCCCCTCGGGTGTAGTTCGTCTGAGGAGGAGACGTAAATGCCTGTGCCTGCGCACACAAGGTAAACTAGATGGATGGGGAAGAAATGTGGGGTGTAACGAACTAAAATAACCAGACAACAACCAGATCTCAAGGTTAGCCCTCGGGGGACGTTTAGTAATGTACTTAAACAAAATATACAACACCCATAAAGAAAATGTCCCTCCTCTTCTACACACCTAAACCTTCCTATCACACTCTAACCCTAACCCACTTTCCTGCCTGTTTACCAAAAAGTACAGGGGTGACACCCGCCCGGCTAACCTAGTGTGTAAAACAATGGGTTATCTACGTGGGAATGTACACCCATGGGAAGATCTACCTTTCCCTTCTCCAGGACCTAGGTAGGGTGGAGTACATCAGGAGGACAGGCTGGAACACAAACAAATACCCAAAAAGCCAAACAACAAGTTCTCTCCCCCTCTCTTCGAGCTCACACGGCAAACAGGTATACTCTCATCAATCAGCTACAGCTGCCAGGACTGCGGACCGAAGCCACGCCCACCATCGTCAGCCGCAACTCAGCACACCTGTAATGCCCAGAACACACAAACATACTACACAGGAAAATGGGGAGATAGAAAAACACGTCACACGTAACACAGGGGAAGAGGAGCGCACAGGACTTTGCACTGGACTTCAGGACCTTGGCAGCCAGCGCGGGATAGAATGAGAGGGCCCTGATCGACCATTACCGATGCAGCCTACGGGAGGACGTTCGTCGGGAGCTGGCCTGCAGGGACACCACCCTTAACCTGGACCAGCTGGTGGATTTATCGATACGACTGGATAACCTGTTGGCTACCCGCGGATGTCCGGATCAGGGTCCGTCCAGTCCATTCCCCAGCACTTCCGACCCTATACCGATGGAGCTCGGAGGTGCTGATCAAAGGGTGACCGGAAGGGGGGCTGTTTCCTGCACCAACTGTGGCCGCAGAGGACACACTGCTGGTCAGTGCTGGAAAGGGTCTTCAGGGAGTCGAGGCAGCAGGCAGGGCACTGGTGGACCATCCCAGGGAGTAGGCACCCGACTCACCCAGAGCTCCCTGTTGCGCACATGTGTGTTTACGTAGAATTTCCTGAGTTTTCCCCAGCATAAGGCACTCGTAGATTCAGGCGCAGCTGGGAATTTTATGGACCGTCTATTTGCACATAGATTAGGGACCCCTATTGTGCCTGTTGATGTGCCCTTCCCTATACATGTTGTATTTTAGATAGTCGCCCTTTAGGGTCAGGCCTGATTAGGGAGGTCACAGCTCCACTCTGGATGAAAACGCAGGAGGGTCATGAGGAGAGAATTAGTCTCTTCCTGATCAATTCTCATTCGTTTCCCGTGGTGTTGGGGCTTCCCTGGTTAGCCTCTCATGACCCCAATATTTTGTGGCAACAGAGGGCTCTCAAGGGATGGTCCCGTCAGTGCTCGGGGAGGTGTGTGTAGGTGTTTCCGTAGGTGCAACTACGGTGGAGAGTCCAAACCAGGTCTCCACTATGCACATTCCTCCCGAATATGCCGATTTGGTTCTCGCCTTCTGTAAAAGTAAGGCGACTCAAATGCACCATGGCATCAGAGCCAGATCGAGGCACTGCGGTGGATGAATGGTTTCGGCGCTCGGAGGAGACCTGGAACGCTGCCCATGTACGCCTGCAATGGGCTATCAGGAGACAGAAGGTGAGCGCCGACCGCCACCGCAGTGAGGCCCCGGTGTATGCACCGGGGGACCGGGTCTGGCTCTCGACTCGAAACCTGCCCCTTCGCCTGCCCTGCCGGAATCTTTTTTTGAAACAAAAGTATTGTCACAAATTCAGCCGAGGCTGCTCCTCCTCCTTGCTCGGGCAGGCTTCGGCGTTCGTCGTCACCGGAGTACTAGCTGCCACCGATCTATGTTTCTGTGTTCTACTTGTTTTGTCTAATTTGCACACACCTGGTTCCAATTACGATAATTTGTTTCCCTTTTTTACCCTCTGGTTCCCTCATGGTGTTGTGCGTGATTGTTCGTTGTTTTGTTGTCATTGACATGTTAGTCGGTATTTTCTTCCCTGCGTGGAAGATATGTTATTTACTCTTGACAAGTAAAGTACGTCGTTGACTAAGTTCTGTGTCCTGCGCCTGACTCCGTCCTACCGCTACACACTGATGCATGACAAATATACACCTCACACACATGGTTATGGGTTTAAAGAAAATAAGATACCTTTACCATGTCATATATAGAGTTCAAATGTATTCAATTTTGAGTTTGCATCCCAATACTACACTTTATATACATCACAGAAGACTGAAATATAGCAAAACCGTTTGACATAGAAACACTGGATTTTTGGCAGGTTGAATTTTTTATTTTTTTTAAATTATGAAATAAAGAAAAATATGAATAACAGTCCACCCATGAGGCGACTAGGTCATTTGACTGCAGGGCTACATAGTTATTTTGGGGTATCTGTACTTTACGTTATTTACTGTTTATATTTTGGACAACTTTTACTTTTACTCCACTACATTCCTAAAGAAAAGTATGTACTTTCTACTCCATACATTTTCCCTGACACCTAAAAGTACTTGTTACATTTTGACCCTTACAAAAAAAGATTGCAGTTTTGAAACTACAGTAAAAGTGCAGTACCTGCAGTCGACTGTGATATTTTTGTCACGACTTCCTCCGAAGCTGCCTCCTCTCCTTGTTCGGGCAGGCTTTG